TGTGGTCATATATTTCATCGAGATTGTATCGAAAGTTCTATTAAAATCAGTTCAAAATGTCCGAAACAAAATTGTGAGAAAGAGATAGAATCTGTAGTTGATAGTATGCCTGGGAGTCAGGATCTTGATTTAATGGTTACATCACCTACAATATTTAAAAGTCCCATAATTACACAGAAAAGTGATACATCAAAAAAGCGTACTGGAGATTACATATTATTTTCTAATCAACCATCTAACAAAAAAACAAAACAGATAAAAAAAGAATCGCTTACACTAAAGAAACTTATAAAAGAATTATCTACCAAGCCTAGTACTCTACAAGATCCTGTAATTAGAAAAGAAAATGCAAATAATTTTGTTGATTTATACAATAATATAACCTATGCAGAAACTCAAAATGAAATTATAAATCAAGAAGTTATAACCACCTATTATCTTTTTGGTAAAGCACTTATTGATAGATATGAATATTATAAAACAAATAATCCAAAACATACAGCCCAAGCATTAGTTAATAAAGAAATTAGTAAGCAACTTCCTAGTACAATTAGTAATACTTTATTACGAAAAAGAAAAGAAAGAGCACAAAAAATTTATAATTTATTTAGTGAAATTGGAGAAAATAAAATTCAATATCTTAAATCAATTTCAGCTTTATCAATTTCAAAATTAAGTCAAGATGAAATTGATACTATATTAGTTCATTTTTCTCAAAAATAAATATTTCAAAATTGGTAGTACATAATCTATAGATTATAATATCATGTGATTACTATGCTTAAACATGTATATCCAGTTTTATTAAATTAATAAAATACAAGCATAATTTATTTATAATTGATTTTTCTGAAATAAATTAATAAACTAAAATTGAATCGCATATTCATAATATAAAGTTATTAAATTCAATAGTATAACCTCTAAAACACACTATAATAAGTCATAAAATGGTTGGCATAAATACTCGTGAAACTGATTATACTGATGCTGAATGGATTGAATATTGTAATATGCCACAAATTCGTGATAATGAAACTCCTAGTGAGTGGATGAAATGGATTTAGAAACGTCTTACATATTTTAGAGAGAATAATCTATTACCTAATGAAAGTAACAAATACCTTGAAGCTAGAAGATTAATACGATTGCCGAATAGTAGTTCATATGCTCCTAAGATCGGAATAGCAATATGTTTCTCTTGTGATCAGTTAGTATATACTGGACAAAGAAAGAAGAATATAGGAAATTATAACCATATAGGAATAGAGAGACATTAGAAATTTTCATGTACCAAAAATAAATACTGTGGTGTAAGTTATAATGAGTACTTGCTAAAAGTCAAGAAAAAATCTATTTCAGGATATGATTACGATAATGAGTATACATTGCATCGATATGGATTGTGAATACAGAATGCTATCAAAAAGATCGAACATGCTAGAAAAATTGGTAAGAAAATTCAAGCTGTAAATATAATACAACAAAAATGGTTAGAGTATTTCTACAGATCCGATAGTCTTTGTGCTACAGAGCTTGTTCAACATTACCAATTATTATGGGTAGTTCGAGAAGAAATACGTCAAGTTAACAATATATAATATATATATTTAGGAAATTTTATGAAATTTTATAAAACTTTATAATAAATACTTATTAATATTTTTTTGAAAAATTATAAATTTTCATGAAAATATATTTCATGATATTATATGGCTTTTCATGAAAGTTATTCAAATCTTCTTACTCAACTACCACCTTTTTTAATAAAAGCTGGATGGATTCGTCTTATAACTCGAAAAAGAAATCCATTATCAGAAAGTGAAGCTAGTAGTATTAGCCCTATTATAGAGGCATTTTTAAAACATGAAGTTGATAGATATCAAAGAAAAAAAAAATCTCGATATAATCTTATTCAGGATGTCTGCTCTACAATAGAAGCACCAGTTTCAAGACCTGAAGAGTTATGCCTCAACGAGGCTCCTAATAGCTTGCTTTACAATACTAATATCCAAGTAATTAAGACCCCAAGAAACATTGCTCCACAAGCCCAAAGGGGCGACCCTAAAGGGTCATACTCTGAAGAAGAGATTAAAGCTATAATCAAAGAAGCTAGAGATAATTTACGTCAAGAACTTATTAAATCTACTGAAGAAACCTTAAAAACTATTAAGCAACAGAAAGATATAGAATGCAATCAAATTAAGTTAGATATGGCTAATTGAAGTACAAAATTATTCAAACTTTCATTAAAAAAATTAATAAGAAATGGTACTAGATATAATCTTATTCATCAGTTAGAAGAAAAAGATGATAAATCATATTCTAACAATGGAGTTGGTGCATAAGCACATATATTTTAGAAAAAGTGATTCATACATTTTTCCCATATAGGAATATCTCGATTTTGTGATATATATTGCGAGGCAATGACCCTTTGGGTTTAATTAATTTTTTTTATTGCAGAGCATTGGCTTTTTGAGTCTAGACCCAGCTCATGATTCGGAGAAGAGGTGAAGTCTTGAATCTCTGATTCATCATCTAATGACTTGTTTTGTAAGAAATTATCCTTACTAGATAGACTAAAATCTGGGCTAAAACCTGCAGGAGCATGCCATTCCTCTAATACATTGTTATCCTTACTAGATGGACTAAAAGAATCAGTAGATACTTGGACTGAATCTTGCTTGTGAAAAGTTAGGTTGATTTCTGATTTAAATATCTCTCTTTGAGACTTATGTACTGAAAGAGGTATAGTAATTACTTTACCTTTATGTATTAACTTGAATTCACACTTAACAATAGGCTCCTATCTAGCACAATCAAGCAAAGAAGTGCCTAATAATATCCAAGGTTTATCATCGTCCATTACTGGAAAATCTTCTGTAATTGTACAACTATTATCTCCATAGCCAAAAGTAATTGGTACATTATAACAAGTTCCAATAGATTCTAA